TCCCCCCCTCTCCCAACCCAAAGGCCCCCAGCTGGAGTCAGCACTGTCTGCAGGATGTGTCTTAACGCCCAACCGCAGGGCATCTCGACTGTATGGAAAGTCCTCTCGCTGGGGTTTTGTTCTACTAACGTAGCACTTTGTTGCGTCCGGAGATTTCTGTGGAGTTGTCTTGAGAGATCATGTACGTATCAAACATGAGGCAGAAGCGCCAAAGACTACTTCAGACATTCGTACCTTCGTGTCATTCCACCTTCCTGCCCCTGCCCAGCTCTCGGAGGAGACGACTCGTGATGTTGGGACTGTTTTGGCACTTCTGTCACTCCCTTTGTTTCTAAATTGCCTTGAAAACCTCCCTGCTGTTTGTGGGGATTAGAGACTCTTTTGGGTTTTTTTTAAACGTTTTCTCATCATTCCATTGTGATACTAAAACAACATGCTTAATGGAAATAAAGTGCTTACTTTGTTGTTTTAAATAACTTGTAACTTGTTTTAGTTTCCTTGTAGACCTGTCACCAAGCCGTTCCACTAGATGAAAATGCATTTTGCGCTGCAGGCGGTGATCTGCAACCTTTCCCCATGATCAGGCTGAGGACAGGCAGCGGGTACTGTGCCCTGGGTGCAGAAGTGCCTCGTCTGGGCTCCGTGCGAGTCGGACGGTGCTCTGGGAGCACTCCAGCAGCTCTTGAAAGGTGCTGTACTGGACTGGTGCAGATCGGTGGTGAACTTCTTTCTCTGCTCAACCCTCATTGTGTTTACCGCCGACGTTCCCTGATGTTTTCCGTTACCTGTTGCGGTGATCTTTTCATTCCTTCCAGCAGACTTTTGCCTGAATTTATCAAGAGCTGCCTAACGTTCACGGTGTTGCATCACAGGAGGCCTGAGCTGAAGGCCAGCCGCTGGCCAGAATGACCCGATAGTGGCATCTGAGCATAAGGTTAAAATCCCAGTCCCCAGTCAGATAGGACCAGACTTTGTGGGGCTTGTGAATCTCTGATCATGCAGCTGGGAAGGATTTTGTTGTGGTTTTTTTTCCCCCTGAAATCTAGTCAGGTAGCTAGTGTAGAGCAGTAAATCAGTCTTAATTCTCTGCAGTTACGACGGCAGCTGCAGTAAGGGCTGCGTGGTGGGAACAGGACCTGTCGCTGTGAAGGGAGCAAGCCTGGAGGAGGTGTTAAGGTTAGCGTGGGTTCTCCCTAAACGTTCGTAGACATGGACTTGAAGTGAGATGGCTGCACGTGGACAGCTGGGAGGTGTCAGGGGTGAGACAGAGTGTAGGGAGCGCTTGCTCCACAGTTCCTTTAGTTACGGTTTTGTAAAAAACCGACATCCTGCGATGTGCGTGTTTGCTGTTTGGAGATAACGTACGCTGTTTGGATAACCCGTGTGCAGGCAGAGCCTTGCATCCAGGCTGTCTGAACCGGGACCAGGCTGATGTTTGGGCTTCATCCCCTGCAACGAGCAGCTTGAGTTGAAAGTTGCACATGAACCAAAGTCCAGCCTGCCGAGGACATGCCTCACCAGGTACAGTCCTTGCAGCTGAGGGCTGTGAACCACCGTCTGCAGAGGTGACGGGTGTGTGAAGACCAGTGTGAAGGTGGGTGATGATCTGGCACCAGACTCGCAGAGCTCCGACTTCCCCTGAGAGTGAAAGGCACTGAGCTCCCTGCAAGCCAGAACCTGCCCCAGGAGCGCGTGGTTCAGAGCAGCCAGCCTCTGGAGCAACTCGGTGTCACTCTCTGCACTTGAAACTCCGAGTCCTTGTTTTTCCTGGCGGTTATTAGGTGTATGAAAATGCGGCGCAGGGTCCAGACCTGTCCGCAGAGCCTGCCCCTGCCACCCCAGTGCCTCACAGCAGTTCCCCTGCCACCCCAGTGTCTCACAGCAGTTACTCAAGCCACAGTGGGGGGACAGCGGTAGCTGGCTGCCGCCACCTCCACCAAGCGCCCCGGCTGTGGCTTCCTTCGGAGATGGGCTTAAGGGGACTTCATCCACTGCTGGCACAGCTCCCCTCCCGGCACAGCTCTCTGGGCTGGTGGCGCTTCTGTTTCTTGCAAAACATTTGGTTGACAGACGGTGAAAGGGCATGTTTTTCCCTTGATCAAGGGCAGCAGCTGGAAGGTGGCCAAAGCCCAGGCTGGAACCTGCCAGCCCTTGTGCTAAAAGCTCTTTCTCCTTTGCCAGCCATCACCTAAAGTGCAGGGCTAGCCGCAGCACCCCGGCCCTCTGGGTGAGCAGGGCAGCTTGCTGGATAGAAATCGGGGGCCCTTCGATATTTATGCATGTGATTGCCTTAATCTTCCCCAAAGAAAAATTTCTTTACTGAAAGAGCGGTTAAACATTGGAACAGGCTGCCCAGGGAAGTGGTTGAGTCCCCATCCCTGGAGGTATTTAAAAGACGAGTAGATGAGGCGCTTAGGGACATGGTTTAGTGGGTGGTGGTGTTGGGTCGATGGTTGGACTCGATGATCTTAGAGGTCTTTTCCAACCTTAATGATTCTATGAAACCCCTTCCTCTGTACCATCACCCCTGGCGCAGCAGACACTGGAGAGGGGCCTTTTACCCCCTCGAGCCCCCTCTTCGGGTGGGTGTCACCAGCTTCTGGCCAGCAAAAAGTCTGTTTGGCAAGAGCTGGTGCTCTCTCTGCCCATGGGGGAAGCCATGTCGGATGTTTTTGCAGCCATGCTGAGCACAGCAGGCCCTGGGAGCCCCCATGTGCTCCCCAGGCTGTGGCTATTGGGAGCCCTGGTCCCCAACTCCCTGCACTCTGGGGGGTTCAGGAAGGGAATGAGAAAGGAGATGGTGATCAAGGAGCCAAATGCGTGTTGGAGACAGGCTCAAGTCCAGCCTCCCCCGGGGCCCCCAGCTCTCGCGGCCCCACTAATCGCTTTGAGCCAGTGTGTGTTGGGCATGTTCCTCGACTCCTCTTTCAAATTATCACAGGTTTAGAAAATAGGCTTGAAGTGACCAGGATTTTCCATGAACTTGCAGATACTTTAATAGCGATGTTTGTGTCAAGCTGCTCTCTCAAGAGCTGTCTTGGGAGCTTGGGATGTATGGGAAGCTCAATAAAGAGTGATCCCCCAGCATGGGCTGTGGGATGGGGCTGTCTGAGATCCGAGGCCCCATATACCTGCCTGCAGGGCTGCCCCTGCCCTGCCGGAGCAGGCAGAGCTCCCACGCCCATTTAATTCAACCTTAAGGAAAACTCGAATCTGAGCTGGAGCGATGCTGCGAAGGGGAGCTGGAGTTTCGCAAACTCCTCCTCTTTTCTGCCTCTTTCACCACAGGCCGGGGTGAAGGAAGGGGCCCTGGTGCCTCTGTCCCTGTCACCGATGTGTGTGCAGGGCTCGTCCCCCTCCCTGCTTCCCACAGCCTTCGGTGATGCAGAGGGGTTCCCGCCTGGGCAGTGCTGCAGGTGAGCAGGGCAGGGGAAGCCTCTGCCCCCCATGGCCTTGCACCCCTTTCCCAGCACCTGCTAGGGGTCCAGGCCTGCTCCGTGTCCTATGGGGAGGGCACCAGCCTGGGTGCTCCCCGCTGCACTCCTTCCCCGGGGTGTGGGGGGCTTGCGTGGGGCTGGGGGATGCCCGCAGCACCAGCACCCCCAGCTCAGGCTGGCACAGGCTAATCGGGGGTCTCTCCTCACCTGGGCTGGTACCATCAGGGGCAAAGCATGAAGCAGATCTGGTTTTTGGCAGGGTCTGGGCCACCCACGCTTTTGAGTCACCCGTGGGATGGGTGCGGGCTCTGCTCCCGCCTGGGCAGGGTTGGGGCTCGGCCCCGCCAAGGGAAGGCGTCGCTCCGTCCCGCGGGACGCTCCGTCCCGGGGTGCCTGCGCTGGGATGCTCCGCGCCGGGGGATGCTCCGTGCCCGCACGTCCCATGCTGGGATGCTCCGTGCCGGGGATGCTCCGCACTAGGGACGCCCTGTACCGGGATGCTCCGTGCAGGCGCGGCGGCCGCCCGGTCCCGGCGGCTGCTTTAAGGGGAGGGACGGAAACCTGACCCGTCCACGGGCTCGGCCGGGCCCTTA